CTTTGTTTATGTCAAGCGGGATAAGAGCGCTGTCATTAGATTAGAGGCTTAGAAACGCCGAGCTCTCCGAGGCTCTTGTGCTGCAGCACCAAATAAGGATATTTGGGATCTGCGATATTTTCTCGGTTCAGAAAAGGGTGCCGAAGTGAAGTTTGGTGAAAAAGGAGAACGCACTCACTGCTGAAGAGTGAGTGCGTTCCAGCAGCACATATTGGACTCAAGATGGATTTCCATTTGCATTTGCACATTCAATGTGCCAAAAGGAGATCAGTATCAGCTACTCGCTATGGAAACCACCCTGTTATTATAATTATTATTTACTTTCAGATCTTTATAGTATCTCTCTCGAACTTTGTTGTGTCATAACCCAAATAAAATAATGGTCATATTTAGATTTTTAAATTAAGCTTTAGTTTTGTCAGTGGAACTTAAAATTCAAATAAATCAACTATTTTTTTAAAATCTTTGTTTATCTGTTTTATAGGTGCAAAAACATATAATCTTACTAAGTAGAGTGCTAAGATCTTAATAAAATTTTAAATTAACTTATAAATAACATTTCAGGAGTTTGTCTGAAGTAAATAATTCCTTAATATTAATAAAGAATGAGCTGGTGGCAGATTATTTCATCTATGACAAGGGAAAAATGTCTTTTTATATGTGACTTAAAACCACACCTCCTTGATTTCAACAGGTTCAAAATACCATAAATTTGTACAAAAACCCACGATTATTAAATATTTTTCCAGTTTTTTATTATCTAAAATATTGAAAACCCTCTGTTTCCATGCTGGTTTTTTATTATTTAGAGATTTAGTTGAGACAAAATGAAGTAATCTTGGCATTTTGGCTCATGAATAAAGGAGATGACCACCTCACCTGCTTGGATTTATCTTCCACCTCCTTCTTGTCGGACTCGGCCTGCTCTGCCCTGTCGATGGCGTTCTCCTTGTCCAGCTTCAGCATCTGCATCTTCTTCTTGATGGCCTCCATGTTGGCTGTCGGCTCTCTGTGTCCTGCAGGGCTCAGAAAAAAGGGAAACTTATTACTGTTTTCTCCTCCAGAGAAAGATGCCTCACAGGAACCAGTGCAAGGTTGACGGCAGAGAGCGGCTTGCAGATGGAGAGGAGAGAGACGGGAGGGATGCAAAGTGAGAGTCGGTGGAGCTTTAAACTTGACTGGAGGTTTGGAGGCAGCCCCAGTCCCCAGTGACGGCCCTTTCCCACCCGTTCACCCCTTCTGCCACTCCCCAACTTGACTCCTGCAGAATATACTGTGCACCCGCCACCTCCGCTCACTCCCTAATCTAAATTTTACCTCTCGAGGAGTCTTTGGAGGAAAAAAAAAAGTCGAAGTAAATGCTCAGTTAATGCCCTTGTTTGGAGAGGAGCAACAGATAAGAAATGAGCTAATGCGCATCAAGAAAGTTATTCACATTGGTACTGAACTGCTTTATTTCCTCTCTCCCTTTCTCTTTAGAGCATCTATACGCCTCCAACTCAGGAATGTTCAAATTGATGTTAATACCAGAGTTGGTTAGAAAACGACATAGTTTTCATTCTACTGTTGAATGAAAAAGAGCTGGATGGAAAATGAGGCAGCCAAAGAAAGTCTGGGGGCGAATGCAGTCTGAATGTGATCCACAGCAGACACTGCTACAGCCGGGCTGCAGAGACACAAACCATCGATTCTCTGCAATTAGGATCCTGCTAATTACCAGCAGGATGACAGGCTTTTATTTAGATTTATGTTCTGTGATTTCAAATGCAGAAAACATGGAATGTTTAGCATGCTTTAAGCTAAACTCATGGTCTTTTTATGCAGATTAATGTCAGACCACAAGAGAAACTGGAAAGAAAAACAAAAGTAAAAACTATAGCATCTTGCAAAGTAATCACACCTCTTGAGCTGTTTTTTTTATATGACACATTACAAACACAAACTTCCACTTATTGGGACTCAGAGGCGGTCCTAACCTGTTTGGGAGCCTGTCTGCTCTGCCTGAATATGAAAATTACAAGGAAACAAAACCAAGGAATAATTTCAAATCACATTTGACTCTGACATCTCTCATCAGCCTGGCCCTTTTTATTCCTCAAGAGGAGTCGGTCTTGACTCTGGATTGATGCAGGAGATGCTGTTCAAAATAAGCTGCTTTAGCATCTAAATCAGGGTTTGCCTTTCATGCAAAACCCACCTTTCAATTTTTAAATAGTTAATGAAACCCCATTTAAATAAATATTTTAACTATTCATTTAGTTCTCACTCAGTGATGATAAGCCTCACCACGAACCTGGAAGAATAAGCTGGTATAGGCAGCAGGAGGATGGTTCATTTAGGAATTATACTGGGATTCTTTTAGATCACATCTGTCAAACTCAAGGTCCAGGGGCCAAATGTGGCCCGCCATAGCTTTTTATGTGGCCCCCTAGACTCGGAATTACAACAATAAGTCCTTCCAGTTTTTCACAAATCTGCAAAATTCACACAAAATCAAATCAACAAATCTCCACTTTTTTTTTTTATTTTACTGAAAATTTTCTCAAAATTGGTCAAAAACATTGAGTTTTTGACCTGCTGCCTTCAGCCTCAACTTGACGTCAAGCTGTAGCTCATAATTTATATGGTGAATAATAAAAAGTCACATTTAACATCATACATTAGCACAAACATTGTAAAAATTCCTGACAAACATTTCTAAATTGGCACCACAAAATGTGCAATTTTGATTACAAAAAAAAACAACAACACTAAAGCAATAACAAAATCCTGAAGGAACAGCTATTTATTTATATTTTAACAATTTAATTGGTTTTATTAATGTATTGTGGCGCAACTGGCCCTTTAAGAACATTCATATTTTTCTATATGGCCCAAAATGAAATTGAGTTTGACACCGCTGTTTTAGACCTTCATAGCATCAAATAAAAGATTATATAAAACGTTTTATTGGCAAAAGAAAGAAACTGTTTTCACTTTTTCTGATAGGTGATGTGATCACTCTCATGATGAATTTGATGGCCTTTAAAAGTTCAAACACACGTTCCAGCATCTTGGTTTTCCGAATACATCAGAAAACGACATGCACTGCAGCAAATACTTTATTCAGTCTTTTATTTACACTAATACATAAAGCCTCTTGCAGAGTAACCGGAAGGGAAGAGCACAGAGAGAGAAACAAATAGAGACAGAGTGAATCAGAAGAGGAGTGAGAGAAATCAGAACCCTCCCACAGGAAATCATCGCTGAGCCCCTCTTCTCCTTCTATGGTAAAAACTCCCCCAAACGCCACAGCATCGCCTTGGGAGCAGACTCACAGTCCTGCTAGGTATAAATCACAAAGCATCAGGGATGTTGGGACAGAGTTCCTCTCTGAAGAGCACAAGCTGCTGCAGTTTGTTTTCAGTGGCAGCAACATCCACATCCAGATCTGCTCACATGAACAGTTGAACTCAGACCATGTCAGGAGACGGATCATGCTCGTTTAATTTTCACAGAGTGCTGCGGCAATTCCCACATGTGACTAAGCCAGTGTAACACCTGTGTGATATCACAAGACCAGCATATTTGTCAATCAAAGTTAGCATGCCAACCTTTTTCAGCTCTGCACAAACACGTCCATGAAGAATCCGCTAGCAGACAAACGATGTGTAACTTTAGCTATGAATCATTTCTCGTGTTTTATTTACTACCACAGTAGTGACTCTACTCGTTTTGAGATCTGTAATACTATAATATGATGCTTACTGTTATATTTTGAGAGCCATTCGCTTCTACTTGAGTTTCAGAAATCCTTTTCGTCCGGATTCTCATGATGTCAGAACTTGCTGCTGAGTTTCAACTTCAGCTTTGCAGTTTAAAAGTGAAAGCTGGAAGATGAACTGCTTTGGCTTCAACAGATGCTTAATAAAATCAGAATTTACGAGGAGCAAAATTGCAAGTTTTAATCATTTGTTTTAATCAAGTTCAACTTTAAGGAAGTTCATATGAGTATTTGTTACATGATGGGTTCATACAGTACATTGCAAAAAGTCTTGATAAACTTCTCATTTTAAAAACTACAAACATTAAACATTTCATTGGAGTTTATGTGATAAAGTAACACAAAAAAGTAGCATATAATTGGTTTCAATATTTCCTATGTACAAAATATTTGAAGTGTAGCATGTTTTTGCCTGTCACCCCCTTCATTCTGATACCACTAAATTATAAAAACCTCAAGAAATTAATCAGTAAACACAGTCCAGTTTACTTTTACTTTCATTTCAGTTCACTTTCCTGTGAAGGCTTTGGATGTTTGTTAGAGAACATTAGAGAAGAAAGAAGTTTAAAAGACTAGTTTAAAGCAGAGTTAGGTAAGATAAATAATAATAATAATAATAATAATAATAATAATAATAATAATAATAATAATAATAATAATAATAATAATAATAATAATAATAATAATAATAATAATAATTTTGGAAAAAAAACATTTTTGTTTAACTATGATACACAATAGCAAGTTTATGGGAAATTAATTTTAACTAGTGTAATGTTGCTATCTTGTGGTAATCATTATGTAATTCAAGCAGCAATCCAGGGATTTTTAACTATAAATTTGAGCTTTTAGGGCTCCACTGAAGGGATCTAGTAAACAAAAATGAAAGCAAAAATCACAAAAAAACAAAAATCATTGTGTTGACTATAACTATAACTATAGTAACTATAACTATTGTTATAGTTGCTATTATGTTTTCACACTTTTTTGTTTTATTAGTCATGTGAAAAATTATAAAGAAATTATTATGCATTAGCCACAAGCAACAAGCAAAAAGATGATTTCAGTTTTAATAGAAAAACAAAGGAATAATTTAAAAATGATTCAAACATGTTTGTTAGTCCATTTTAAAAATTATATTGATAACATTTTATTTATAATTTGGAAACTTACTGAACTAATTTATATGAGCCGCTTGTTTGTTTGGTGATTGTTCTTCTTGTTCTATAGGGGGCGCTCGCTCGCAAGCTGTACTGCGGATGTCCAAAAAACGGGAAGGATCGTCTTCTTCTCAGTATTATGAATGAAAAGACAGATTTTTAAATGTTTTTATGTAAACGAGTAATATCACTTATCGATCAGTGAGGGTCATATAACGAGCTGATCTGAGCTCGTGTAAAACAGGTTCAGGATGTCGGCCAGTGCGGTATACGTGTTGGACTTAAAAGGGAAGGTAAGGTGTAGCCGAGCACTGTTGCTAAGCTAACTAGCCTAGCTAGCATGCTACATTTTTCCGTTGACAGATTATAATGTGGCTCATACCAGAGGAGACAAATGTCAGTGTGTGCCTCTTTTCTGACGTAATGTGTTTTAGCCCCAGTTAAAGGTCTAAATTTCTAAATTATGATTATGAAGTTATTCGGTTAAGACAAAAAACAATTTTAATTCTGACAATGAATCAGGTGACCAGCTGTTAGCCGCAGTGAGGATACGACACAGATGTTTCTTCTCTGTGTCCAGCGGTTCTGATGAAGCTTTAGGGACTAATGTCAAATTGTATACATTAATTTATTTTCCCACACGTTCCGCTTTTTTAAAAGTGATGTTGGACATCTAATATAGAGGACATGTTTAATACTGGCGAAACCTTTTGTTTTTTGCACAACAATGGCTAAAGGAAAAATAAAGTTTACTCTGACACAAGAAGAATATTCTCCTTGAATAAAACATATTATGCATGAATATGCGTCGTAGGGTCAGCATGTTGCTTTCATATTTTTTTTTTTTTTTTTGAAAGAGGGTTATGATTTAATCTGAAACTATCTCACTAACTTAATTGGACAGAGATGGAAAAAATTGGGCCAATATTAATATTGCTGTTATGGCTGATATGTACAGATCTTATTTATGTTTGTATATCCTTACACTTTTAACATCATTTAAAAAAATACAACCACAACCTCACAACTGATATTGTTTCTGTGCTTCAATTAAACGCCCCACGATCCTGCACTACATCACTATTTGTCACATGAGCAACCTCCTCCTTTTTCTCTCATAAAACACAAATGTCAACAGGATGGAAATAAAACAAAAACATTGATTCATCAGAGAAGTGCCGGTCAATAAGCTGAGGTTTAAAATGTATCTGTTTTACCTTTGATTGAATCTGTTCAAACTCTGGCAGGTCAGACCTGGAAGAAAACTAGAAATTGGCATCAGCCAGGAAAAGCTTGATGACGCATCTGTGTGTTGTGCAAAGACGGTTATAAGCCTCCTGGTTGTAGCAACAAAAGAATAGCCTGAATACAGATGAAAATGTACAAAGCAGAGCTCAGTATGTAGATAATTCATTCAATTCTCATCAGTGTGGTAGTCGTAGACTGAATGCTTCATCTGATGGTTTCTTTCAGGTCCTGGTGTGCCGTAATTACCGAGGAGATGTGGACATGTCTGAGATCGAGCACTTCATGACCCTCCTGATGGACAAAGAGGAGGAGGGGACGCTCTCTCCCATCCTGGCTCATGGAGGCGTCCGTTTCATGTGGATCAAACACAATAACCTTTACTGTATCCTAACTCTTTTTACTGCTCTGTTTGTGTTCAAACCTTTAGATTTAAATATTTGATTTTGCACAAGGACATTGTTGACACTGATTGTGTTTCATGGGTTTTATCGAGTCTTTAACTCGCTTGTCGTCAGTGGTTGCCACATCCAAGAAAAACGCCAGTGTGTCTCTGGTTTTCTCCTTCTTGTACAAAATTATCCAGGTATGAGAAAAGCTCTGCTAGGTTTGGTGAATAGCATCATTTTTATACATATTTCAACATAAAGGTGAACGTTTTGCAGCGTTATACGGCTACGTTTCTGTTTTTCAGGTGTTTTCAGAGTATTTCAAAGAGTTGGAGGAAGAGAGCATTAGAGACAACTTTGTCATCATATATGAGCTGATGGATGAGCTGATGGACTTTGGTTATCCCCAGACCACTGACAGCAAGATTCTGCAAGAGTAAGTTTTGATTTCTTTGATTCCTCCTAAAGCAGGTAAATAGTGATTCACTGATTAAAAGTAGAGCCGGTGAATTAGTCAGTATGCAGGTAAATAATTGCTCAAGATACCCCCATAAAGATTTTTTTTTGTCCTTGTTTTCCATCTTTACACATTTGCTAATACTGAGTCCTTGCCTGATGCTACATTTAAGTTCAGTTCAGCAGCATTCATCTTCTATGCACCACAAATCTGGAACAAACTTCTGGAAGATTGTAGAACAGCTGAAACACTGAGTTGCTTTAAATCTAGACTAAACACTCACCTGCTAAATGAAACGCTGGCCAACATTTTGATGTGTAATGATGGCACTTGGCAAAATATAATGTTTAAATTGTTAACTTTGTGTCTATGACTGTGTATTTTGTGTTTTTATGTGTATCTTCACACCCCAAAAATTTGCATGGTTGAATTTTGCAAAAAAAAACAAAAAAACAAAAAAAAAGAAAAAAAAGAAAACAACATTGAAAGGTGGAAGAGTTTCATTTTTAAGCAAACAAAAATGATCTGCACATCTTGATGGCTTCTAATGCGCTCTATGTGGCGCAGTTGCAGGGGCTTCATGATGCTCTGGGAAGAATTTTAATCTAATTGAACAATAGATTCAGGCTTCAGGTTGTATGGGAGTATCAAATTATGACTGATGTTGCAGCGGGGATCTCGATGCACCATCGATGCATCGATGTGGCGATGTTGCAGCGGGTATCTCTTTTCACTGAGGGACTTCCTCTATGCAGTGATGACTAGGTCTTTCAACAGGACTGTGCTGCATTTCACAACGCTCATTTTGCAAAACGGAGGATTGCTGCAAAGTCAGCGACACCAAGCAGGCGCCTGTGTGTCGCTACATGTTCATCCAGGAGGAGCGAGTGCTGCAAAGTCAGCAACTCGATACAATCCTTACTTAGGCTGTCCTTAGATGGAAACCTTTGACTTGAAATCTGTTTGATTTGATTTAATTGATTCTCATGTTTTGTTTTTGTGTTGAATAAATGAAATAAATTGAAACTCTTCCAGGAGAACAACCTCCCTCTTCTCGACCGTTTTACATCTTCTAATCTAAATAGATTTGTAAAACTTTTTAGGTTTCTGAATCAGTTTCTGAAACTGAAGGACTGAAGTTTCAGTCCTTTATGATGCAATCTTCACATCAAATGGAAAATGTCTCAAAATCCTCCTGGAAACACTTCCAGGCGCTTCGGCTATTCCGTACAGAAGAGTCGTTTCAGTTCTGTGTTCTTTTTACCTTTGTGTTTGAACAGCCGGAGTTTAAATGTCGTTTAAAATGAATTGCCTGCTGTGTTTGTTCTTATTTCTTGCTTCTGTTTCTTGATTTTGCTTAACTCACCACTTAGTTATTTTCCAGCTGGGCAAAAGGTGGATGTCAACAAATTAAACATAGCAAAAAATAATAGATATAAAACAGTTAAACAGCATGAGGAAATAATTAAATGGATTTTGGTTCATGATTGCTCAGAGTGTATTGCATAAAATAATTATGAACTTATAAAATTTTTTGTTTCGGGTGATTTTATTATTATTATTATTTATGAGAAACAAATATTTCAATTTACGTAATATCTGAATGCATTTTATGCATTCCTTCTTTCATAAAAATGTTTAAAGCAAATAAAAAAAACCTAAAACCATGTGCAATCAATAGAACCTAAGATAATTAATGTGTTTAAATAACTGAAACTAAAACTAGAAATAAATTACTTTAAAATATAAATGTTATTAATAATTCTTAATGCATCATTAACTTCAAGTTAAACTTCTTATATTCTTGTTTTTGACAATATTAAATATTAACACTTAACTGTTTTTACCAAACATGAAATAGTAGAGATGTCTTAAAAAAAGGCTGGTAAAATTTGATTAAATCTCTTTTTTGTGGATCAGTTCCACATATAACTCAAAATGTGTTTCTTTTAAATAGGTTAATCTGTTTATTAGGTTAATTATATATTCTGCCTATAAATATGTGTTTGTTTTTAAACAGTAAATCCATATGAGTAAGCAGATCTGTGCAAATGTGCAGATTGGCCACTAGATGTCACTAAAATCACACTCATATCTTTACCTCCTTTCTGTTTTCTGTAATCTTCCTTGCAAAGCAAAGTTTACAGTCTGCATCATGATGAGATAACAAACTTTAGCCTAACAGGAATCTGAATAAAGTAAATATGTACCAAACTAACTCTGGATTTCCCATCTCTGTTCAGGCTGAGTACAGTAATAAGTCCTTCTTTAATAGAGAGGGGAGTCTTTGTTCTCCTTTGACTGCTGGGAACATGGCAACACAGAAAGCTAATTTCCTTTTTCCAGGTTGTGTTGACATTTGTTTTTTTTTTTTTTTTTTTTTTAATTTAACCTCTCAGATACATAACCCAAGAGGGTCACAAGCTAGACACCGGCGCACCGCGACCCCCAGCCACTGTTACTAACGCTGTCTCCTGGAGGTCAGAGGGCATCAAGTACAGGAAGAACGAAGTCTTCCTGGACGTCATTGAGTCAGTGAACCTCCTGGTAGGAACTCCTTGTTTAAAAGGCCAGAGTTGCTTAAGGAGCTTCAGTAACACTGATTGTGTATTTCCTCCTTGTGTGCGTCACAACACTGAATGTCAAGCTGGTCTTGTGTTTTTATGATCTAATGAAGTGAACACTTTCTATAATCATTTATTTTTCTTTCTGACTCATTGAAGTTTTAAATCTCCTTATTTTCAGGTTAGTGCCAATGGGAATGTTTTGCGCAGTGAGATTGTTGGTTCCATTAAGATGCGCGTTTTCCTGTCTGGGATGCCTGAGCTGCGGCTGGGTCTGAACGACAAGGTTCTGTTTGAAAACACCGGACGTAAGTTCTTTACTGCAGCATCTCAATAAATTAAAATCTCATCAAAATGTACGTTTATTTCACTAATTCAAGTCTAAAAGGCACTGAATCATATGTTTTAATCGTTTTATTCCTCTTCAACTTTGATGATGATTTACAGCTAATGAAAAACAAAAGTTCTGCTTCAATGCATGAGAAACAAATAAACATTTTGGTTGTAACTTATCAAGATGCTTCCATACAAATGATACAAATCTGCTTTCAGTTAATCTCAGATAAGCATTTTTCTGGCTACTGTGACGTACCACCAACGTTTCAAAGTACAGCTCAGCGTAGACATAATTGTTCTTGATCAATATTTTTTTTGTCCAGGAGGGAAGAGCAAATCGGTAGAGCTGGAGGACGTCAAGTTTCACCAGTGTGTCCGTCTTTCTCGCTTTGAGAATGACCGCACCATCTCCTTCATTCCTCCAGATGGAGAGTTTGAGCTCATGTCTTACCGCTTGAACACTCATGTAAGTAATGCCTCAAAAGTGTTTTTTTTGTAAAGTTTTACCAAGTCAAACAAGAAAGCATTATCTCCAGATTCTTCCAGATTTCATCTGCTTTCCACTGGTCTGATTATTTTTTTAACACCGGGCGTTTTGATTGCAGGGCATTTAGATATTTTATTTCTGACTTTTCATTACACATGTAAAAGTGTCACTAGGGATGATACTGAAACCATCATTGTGCTATGATTTACTGGAGGTATAAATGTTTTCTAGATGAGCACATGAAGGCACAATGCAGGAGGTTTTCCTTTGTTAAAAGTTTATTGTGTTGAGAATCTGTAGTGCAACTCCTCGGAAAAACAATCACTGCACAGGAAACTCAGAGATTTCTTGAATGTCGCAATTCAAGGGATTTCTCGGAAAAAGAGATGACAAAAGCAAATTAAAACTCAACCCTGCTTGTCCTTCAGTTTGATTGCATGTTATTCAGACTTTTATGATGGCAGACAGTGTTTCTTAAATGTTAGCTACTTAACACGGTGTTCTCGTTCTCTTTTTCTCACGTTTGTTTGCATAATCTTCATTTCCCCGAATAGAAGCACCAGAGAGAATCAGAAACATTTAATTACTGTTTGCAAATCATAAAACCTTTAGTGGTTAATATCTAACTCGGGTAGTTGAAGCGATGATCCAGATGTCCTGCTTTAAGTCAATTTAGCAATATTTTTTTGCATCAGATTGTATCTGTTGATTCTAAAACTCTGATATTGATGTTGGAAGTGAAAAAAAGTGGATTGTTGCATCCCTGATTGGGAAAAACCTTTTAAGACAACTGAGGCTACATGCAATATTCCAATATTATGGGCTTCTAGCTGTAATATTTGGTTGAAAAATTTCAAATTTACATATGTTGAAAAAACTTTTTGATGACACTTTCGTTTTCTAAAACTTAGGGCCGTCAAACTCATTTTCATTTTGGGCTTTCTCAAAAATCTGAATGTTCTTAAAGGGCCGGTTGTGGTAGAATGTATAGATAAAACCTATTAATTTGTTAAAATGTCCATAAATAGTTGCTTCAACATTCAATAAGCGTTTCTTAAAATTAAATAATATTAAACATCTTTTCACATTTTTTTTTTTTTTTGCAATAAAAAAAAAAGATTTTGTGGTGCTAATTTCGAAATATTTGTAAGGAATGTTTCTGATATTTGCACTAATGTATGATGTTGTATCGAACACGAGCTATAACTTGATGTCAATTAAGGCTGAGGCAGCTGTCACTTAAGCCCAATGTTTTGACCATTTTTGAGAGCAATTTGCTGTAAAAATCAGAAAAAATGTGGGAATCTGTTGATTTTGTGATAATTTTGCAGGTTTGTGGAAAACTGGAGGGATTTATTGATGTAATTTGGAGTCCAGAGGGCCACATAAAAAGCAACTTGAGTTTGACACACGTGATGTAACGGTTAATCTCTATTTTCTAGTGTAATTTTCGGTGTAGTAAAGGGAAATATCCACTAGATGGCGTCTGTGACTCACTAATTAAACTATCAAGCCCTTGAAAGAAGCTCTGAAACCATCTGTTTGTAAATATTTAATCCTGATTATATGGTCTGGCAGGTGAAGCCCCTGATCTGGATCGAGTCTGTCATCGAGAAGCACTCTCACAGCCGGATCGAGTACATGATAAAGGTACGATGCTTTCTCAGCAACATGGATTAACTGCTGTCATCTGCACTGCTGCTGCACCCTGGTCTCATGGTTCCTGTAAAAACACAAACAATAACAAGAAAAGGTTCGGTTGTAAAGGCCGGTCTAAAGTGCGTTCACGTGCATTGCGAGCTATACTGACTCATGGATCTTGTAAAGAATGAAACTCCTGACTGCATAATTCTTATGTCAAGCTACATTTAAGTCCCTGCTCAGGCAGCGCGTTGTTTTAAACTCGCCCTGCCTGTTCTTCCTCTCTCAGGCGAAGAGCCAGTTCAAGAGGCGCTCCACTGCCAACAACGTGGAGATTCACATTCCTGTGCCAACGGACGCTGACTCACCCAAGTTCAAGACCACAGTGGGCAGCGTGAAGTGGGTGCCCGAGAACAGCGAGATCGTCTGGTCAATCAAGTCTTTCCCTGTGAGCACAAAACGTGACTTAGTAGTTTCACAGTGACGGTTTACAAACAACTAAAGGCTGTTTTTTGTTAAATTCAGCTCCTAATCCAGCTTTTGTTATGTAATATCCTTGTTTTTCCATGCGTTTATTTGTAGCTCTGCTGTTATGGACAACAAATATGTGTTAGTATTATTCAGTGGAAAGTAACATTAAAAATAATCCAGTTATAATCACGCATCATTACGTTGTGCTAAAAAGCTTGTCGCACCCTGTGGCAGGGAGGAAAGGAGTACTTGATGCGGGCGCACTTCGGGTTGCCGAGCGTTGAGGCTGAGGACAAAGAGGGGAAACCACCAATCAGTGTCAAGTTTGAAATCCCGTACTTCACCACCTCAGGGATCCAGGTAGGCTTAGCACACATCTGACCCCTGTCGAGCAGTAATCCCACAAACATTTCTCTTAAACCTGAGCAGAAAAGTTCAAAACATTCTCTTAACCTGCTCAGTCAACCGTACGGAGTTTATTGTTCATGTTGTTGCTGATTCAAACATAGTGCATGTTCGGATCCAGCAGCGTCATTCTAGCTTTAGGCCAGAGGGGGCAGCGCAGGAGCACTTTTAAACCGTCTCTGTGCTAAAGTAAACTTGTAGAGAAGTCAAGTGCTCATCAACCTGAACTTGGCCCTCTGGTTTGATCATAATGACAGCACGATAAACCGTCATTTCTAGAACCAGGCTGGTAGATTAATAGGATTTTGATTGTAATTTCCATGCAACAGCGAGACGTTAATGTTTATATTTCAGGTTTCCCCTCATGCTGACCACAGACTGACACACGTGTTACGTTTACTGTATGATTACAGTTGTCCTGTGATTATACGTGTGGCACCACAACACCAAATTACGCTTTCCCATGTCCTGGTCAGGGGAGGAAATGATACTTGGCGTCATTTGAGAATATTATATCATATGTGAACCTCTGGATAATTACATTCCCAGTTTTATGTTTGTCGGATGCATTTCTTTTAGTCTGGAATGCTTCATGCCTTATCACAGGCTTTAAAACTTTTTATTATTGTTGCTTAAAACGGTTCTCCCAATCCCAGAACAGAATGAAAAGCTAAAGATCCTAATTTATAAATTGGAACAAACTGACAATACAACAAACACAAATCACATTATTGAGATATTGTATAACTTTATTAATCCCCAATGGAGATAATTATAGTTGACATAGCAGCCTAAGAAATAACAAAATAAATATTTTTTTCATTTTTTTACTAGCTCCACCTCTTACAACTCGTTTTCTTCATGTTGATCAGCTTAACAGGAAACTTTTACTTAATAAAGTTTGACTTCCTGCTTCCCTGATGTTTTAGCATGAGATGGCCGCTCTTCAAAGTAGGAAGGACAACAGTAGATACCATTAGCCTGAAGAAAATTTGAGTTAAAACTTATCTAAACTTACCCACATCTACAGTCAGAGCAGTAACTAATTTAAAATAAACTCTGTAACTGTGACAAGCAAGGTTAGACAAAGACCTGAGTTTATCTCACCAACTCACACAGCATAGAGGATCTGTACAGTTAGTAATATTTAAAAAATGCACTTTGTCTGCTGGTAAATGTTTAATCCTGTTTGTTAAAAGCAGATATGAATGAGCTGAAAGCACTCTGACTCCAGATCAGCTGCTTGTATTTCAGTAACCAACCAACTCTGGTTATTTTGGTGTGAGGGCTGAGTGCTCCAGTAACAAAGCAAGCATTCACATTATATCTAAACATTCAGTTTCTAAACTCGCCTCAATAACAAGCTGCATATTTTTGGCAATGAGTTCTAGAATAAACCTGCAGTTAATACCTCCAGGCTGATGTCGGACCTTCATCATGCTCACAGAGTCGCGTTTATGCCCCAACTTTAAGTGCTGTTTTCTGTATGAATCATTAAACGAGCCAAAAGGTCACATTTTCCAGCTTCCTCACATTTCCCATTTTCCTCAGTAAAATGTTATTAAGTTGCTCGGTTATTATGCAGCCCACTCGGAAACAAGACGCTCAGTCCAAAGATAATTGATATGCATGATAAGTTGTAATGTGAGTTGTTGTGATTTTTCATAGTTAGCCAAATGAGCTGCAATGATTTACCGATAATTCTCTATTCGTCTTGTAAATGCTTGCATGAACAGAGCGACCTTAAAGGCGGGTTTTCACTTGTTTCGCCTTAATTCTGCAGTAAATGAACTAAATCCCTTCAAGTCTTTACTAAATTAAAAATAATGCAGAAGACAATAAGATGCTTACATTGTGAAAGCAAATCGTTTTTCTCAATTTGATCCAAAAATCCTAAGAGTGCAAAGTCATACATTGCCAATGGCCAGTGCCATCTCTGCTCTGATGAACTTCTGACTTGCTCATCTGCGCTGTTGTGGTGGATCCTCTTTTGTGGTTTTCTACAAACCTTGATGACTTGTATTCAAACACATGAGGGTTTCCTGTTCGCTTCAATCTGGACACACCCTACAAGTGTTATTGCCGCAGCTTTGAGAACAAGGCAACCTTTAACTGTAAGTTGGTTTGAATTTTCTCAGATCAACAGTTTTTTTTTTTTTTTTTTTCAGTGTTTACTACACCAGAGTCTTCCTGACCTTAAAGTTACCTGAAGAATCAAACAAATATAGAGTGGAAAAAGTCGTACATTTTCCATTCTCATCTAGAAGTAGAAAATTGGTTTGGCTGTGAAATTTTTTTTTAACAGCTGTAAAATAAAAAGACCGTCTTGCTTCTGCAAACTATCGAACTTCCTGAAAGGAAGCCACCTGTAAAGGTCGGTTTATGTATGCCACACAACACCCAAACGATTTTTTTCTAACGTGTTTCAACCACTAACTCCCCCTCTTTTTTTTTTTTTTTTTTTTTTTAAATACCCCTTGAACTTTTTAACATTTTGTCACATTACAACAACAAATTTCAGTGCATTTTAATACAGTTTAATGTGATAAGTACAAATTCCAGAATAATGCGTCATTTGTGACGGCAGCATTTGAAGTAGCTATGCTATACTAGTTATTTTTGACGCATCCATTCTATATTAGTTCTATTCATTTTGCTGATTAGCATCTCAAATGCTCAAATCAAGCTTTCCCCCAGAAAACTTGCTGGGAGCGCTCGGGCAGTCATTCATCCAGCGGTCCGTCATGTTTTGAGTTAAAAAATGTTTAAAGTTGACCGGAAATTTGAAAATATCATTTGACAATTATGTGTTATTGAAAGATTGGAAGATTAATATCTAAATACCAACTATAAAGTCTTAAAAAATGCAAACATTTTTTTAAAATTGAGTAAATAAGCAACGTTTAGCCTGGTGGGGGCACAAGTAAAGCCCGGTGGCCCGCCAGGCTTATAAAACACTGGGGGAAACTCTGCTCAAATAATACCTGAACTATGACCCCAAATCCCAGAAGTTGAAAAAGAGGCTTTATGAATGAAGAGGAAGTCCAAATAGTCTCTTGAGATCCCCGACTAAAAAAGTATTTCTAACTACACGGCCAGACAGAGACTTAAAGGGGAGCGGCAAAAGCAAATGAGGTGGATTAGCACAGCCTGCCGACAACTGATGATGTCATCCAGGACATGTTGGTGTAGAATATTGTCTCTGTTACCTCCATATTTAACTGTTAGCATGTCATAGCAGTCAGACTGTCTACAGACAGATTTCAGTCAGAGGCCTCTTTAGATTCACTGCAAGACAACGACTTTTCAAAGATGGTTTAATGATAGAAGTTGCGAAAGTTTTGCTCTTTTATGGCTAAATTGAATGAAATTGCGGCTTAATTAAAAAGCCAAATAAAACATGATAAATGTTCTCCAGAAAACACGACCGATCATTTGTATTGAGTCCCTCTTTTCTAAATAGGAGCTCTGTTCTTTTCACACCCAGAGACTGAAATTTTTGCACATTCTCTGAGCAGCACAGCTCAAGCTGAATCTGATTTGATCAAGAATTTTAAGGTCTGAACTTTGACAGGGCCATTTTAACACACACATGCATGGATGCAAACCGCTTAGCTACACATTTACATATGTCCTGTTTAAGAAAAGAGAAACAAATCTATTAAAATCAGATTTGGTGTGAAAAAATAAGAGATTTTATTTTGAAACCATGTCGTCCAACTCCTAAAAGAGCTATATCCTTTTTTTTCCACTTCACAGTTATCAGATAAACTAATAAAACACATCAAAGGTTGTGATTGAATCATAATATGTGAAAAATGTCAAGAAGTATTATTTCCTAAATGATCTGAGAGTTTTTCCTGTTGAATTTGTCAGTTGAGATAAGAGTCGTAAAGAAGCAGCTTTATCCTCCACAGTCCCACTGCGGCTCTGCTTTTTGCAACCAAAATCAATTTTTTTTCCCATGCCAGAACTGATGGCTCATCATCCATTTTCAAAAACAACCTACCAAGATCCCAGTTCCCATCAGACTCCTGTGTGAAGCGTGCAACCTTCCCCTTATTACAGGGCGACTGCAGACTGGGTCGCAGGCTCTAATGCAGCCAAGTGACACCACTCTCTACGTGTGAGAAGAGGCCGTGAAGTTTAATTAGACGCATGTAAATATCAAAGCATGAGAAAGTTTCTCTTAACTCCACCACTAAGTGTAGGGGAGCGCACATGTGAAGCATGTATGATGCAAGCAGCTCCACCTTATACATTTAACTGGAAAACCATGTAACCCCACACGTTGGTCTGGTGGAAATAAGAGCGTGTTTTTGAATGTAGGTGAGAGAACTCAAACAAGTTGGCAGATGTGTTTTTTTTTCCTTCTCTCTTTCCTTGCTGGCCATGCCATCTACAAGCAGCCTGATAAATCCAGACCACACATGCAGTCTGTACTTACCAAACGATATACTACAAACATCCTCCTGTTCCCTTCTCATCTTACGAAGCCATAATGATATTTTATGGAGGTTTTGCTGACTGCGTGCCCACGGCCAGGCCGGGACGAGCGTTTGGCTGCGGGATGCGAGGAAGAACTGCTGCGCCGGCAGACTCGGCGATCCCGCGTCTGCGTGTTTTGTCGTCATGTCTTCGGTGACCACGGCGCTCGCTCTGACCTCACAGAGAGCAGAGGAAGGTAATAACAAGGCGGCCGGTGCCGTGGCCTTCCTTCCCAGGGCTCTGATTCACAAATTCCTGCGCCGTCTGTCCCAGTTTCAGCTGGGAACAGCCAAGACGACGGGGAGGTTATCACGTCAGATTGCAACTTTCTGCTTTCTTTTATTTTTTTTTTCTCCTGCTGAATGTTAAGTGTGAGAATGTTTTGACAGCAGGAGCTCATTGAAGCATGAAAGATGTCCTGGGTATGGGCGTTGTAGGCCTGCTTTGCATAAACACACACAAAAATCATTAAAGCGATTCATTGAGTCAACTAAAGCAATACTTCAGTAAAACTACAGAATCTTTAAGTTTCCTTTACGGTTTTATTTCCCCATCTGATGGGGAAAAAACGTTCTGCAATCCAGTTCAATAGCGCTAAGACTGCTCGGGTACTTTTAGCATTTATTCTCGACATTCAGCTCTGTGGTAACACCAGGCAGCTGAAATATCGGTTATCTTGTGAAAGTTGTAGCTTATTTGTGCTGATGTGCATTTTTTTTCCTCACAGGCATCACACAAAAAACTACAGTTATGTAAATTAACATAGTGTGTCCCTTGAAAGCTGCTTCCTTCTTTTCGTGTGACTCACACTACTTCTTCCTCATCAACAACACGACTCCTACTACAGCCTGCTGCTCGGCACAAGCTTACAGGTGCAGACAGCGTTTGATGTGAGACGCTTACAGCTTCAGGCGGAATAATCTCAGATCAGCATCGGTTTGACTCGGCCAATGGGAATTTAACAAATGTTTTGAAAAAGTACCCTTGAACTGTCACCATCTCATTTTATACCACAACATTCAACGTGTTTCATTGGGAATTTACATGCAAAGTAGTGCATGGTTGCAAATTGAAAAGAAAATTAAATGTGAATTTCTCAAATTCTGAAATGTGTGGCATGTTATTTGTTCACCTCTCTTTACTGTGATCCTTCCAAATAAGATCCAGTAATCAAATTATAGTTCATTTCTGATGCAGACCACAAAAAGGGAACTCTGGTTCATCTAAAAACTCCAATGAAATCTGGTGCTGTTTGAATTCAGATGTGAACGCTAAGCGGACCAGAGACCGTTCCAAAAGCAGAAAGCGGACTACAGCGGAGGGCATTCTGGGTAAATGCAGCCAAAACAAATGAGAGAGTCTACTGCTAGCAGGTGAACAGACTAGTGGTCTTTTACCAAAAAGAAAAGAGAGGCTTTGGTGTCGTTTACTTCAGTGGTTGCTTGTGTAGCACCACCACAGGCAAGAAGAGGACAGGCTTTTCAAAGGGTTTGGTTCGTTTCACGCAGTGCAGTGGGAAAGCAAACCGCACCAGCTGAAAATGTAACAAATGTTGCAAGTTTAGTCCCTTATAAAACTGAATCTACCAGACTGTCAGGCATTGATACCCAAAGATGTAATTTCAGTCGTAAAGAGAATCCATCTGTGTGTAATTTATTCCCAGCATTAATTAATGTATTGGTTATGTAAATTAGTTATCTAATTTTGGTTGATAAAATAGATATCCGTTTTAAATATTTAAATTATCTTCCAGTTCCAGTTTTAAAATTTTTTGGTCTTTGAGAGGGCGAACTTGCAATAACATTCCATTAACAATACATTGCTAGGAAATGGTCTCAGAACAACAATATTATTATTTATGGGACAATTTATCATCCAACAAAATATGTTTTCATGACAGGCCCATTGCTGAATGCTGAATTCATATGCAGGCCACACTTTTCCTCTTTTTGCCTATATTTATAATGAAAATAGGGAAGCTGTCTTATTCTTTTCATTTTACTGTCTGTTGTTGGCCTACCATATTCTGTTCAAGTCAAGTCAAAGTGCATTGTGGATAGATGATAAAATAAATAACATAAAACAAAAGAAATTGGCAGTAAAATACCAAGAAAATAAGACGAATAAAAGCCAAGACATACTCAATTTCAGTAGCAGCAATTTCTCCAAAATTATTGCACTACATTGAGTCTTGGAGTACAGCAGGTAGGAAAACTTCACCAGACAATGTTGATGTCGAATCTAACAGGCATTGTCTAAAAAATGTAGATATAATTTAGTTTGGTTGATCAGTAACCAAACCAGGAGATCAGCAGCTCTGGCTCAAAACTTATAAATGTGTCTGAAATGTTGCTTTCAGCTGCTCTAGTTTGACTTTTTCCTCCAGATATATATATATATATTTTTTTCTCTCTGTGGTCCTGCAGGTGCGTTACCTGAAGATCATAGAGAAGAGCGGCTACCAGGCGCTGCCGTGGGTGCGCTACATCACCCAGAACGGAGGTAGGTCACGGGTTTATCTGCAACTGTGCAAAGTGCCCATATGTGCAGGTATTAGGCAACTGTTGCCCAATGCTGTGCAATGTGGTGGGAACTAACCTTGCAGAGAAGCAGTTCTATGAAAAGGGGATACAGAGCAGAACATGAGGCAATGTGGCAACGCCCTGCCAAATGTGAGAAAGTGAGCTTTATTTTCTCGAGCTTCCCCCTGCTCATCATCGTGAGATTACCAGAGTTGCACATGTTGGGCTTGTGGCTAATATCGCCACTAATTGCCAAACATCCTCCTCTCATTTCCTTCGTATTTCATCCAATCCAGGGTGGAAAGCATCAGCTGCTGATTTTCTCTCGGATTCCCTACTTTTCATTTGCACATTTGATTAAGTCTCGTCAATTTCCTCCACAGATTACCAGCTCCGGACCCAGTAGGCACGTGGGCAGGTGGAAGTCAAGACAGGGTGGAGTCGAGGCGCTAATGCGCTGAGGAAGGCAGGTGGCAGTCAGGAGATAAGAGGACTGTCAGTATTTACTTTAGTTGTATAGCTCTCAATTCGTTAAACCTCTATCCATTCACGATCAATGCAATTATTAGAAGGAGGCTTGGGTTAGGCGAGCTTCAGAAACGTGATTATGTTACTGTTGATTGGATCTGGAAATGATGGAGATCGAGGAAAGCAGGAAGAATGTTTACATCCACTTACACGCCGCAGAGCTACAATCTGTCGCAGCGGGTCAGACAGTTGTTACAATTCCCATGTAAAGTTACTGTAATCATCCGTACAACGGCCACTCAGTTACAGTATGTGTTCTTTGTATGAAGCTGCTTTGTTTTGCCACAATTCCTTGTCATTTTGTTCATTTTTTGTATATATTTGTTACATGTTAATGAACTCAGTGTTATTAGTTACAGAACTGTAAATTTAAAGCAAAACATTTTGTATTATGAGCTGCATGGGATGCCATAGATACATGCCAAAACATCGCCTTCACGTGTTTTATTTTTGTTCGTCCGCTTTGACTCCACAAATTTATTATTATTGCAAAAGATACTAAAAACATTGATTATAGGCTCCACAGGAAGCACCCTGACACCTGCTTTCCTTTTCTCTGTCTGTAACCACGCTGTTTTCTGTCATTAAATGTATATTTAGAGAAAACTGTTCCATCATCTGCTCGCGTCATTTCTTGCGTGACATCACTGCAGTGGATGGTTTAATGGAGGGGGAAAAACTCTGTTTAGAAAAACAGAGAAGTGGGGGCACCATGGATGGTTTCTTTCCATCTCATCCAAGTGGAAAAAAAACGCCCAACAGTGCAACTTTTAATACTCAGAGCCGCGTAATATTGTTAGCAGGTAAGTGTTATTCCTCCGTAAACACACAGGAAAACTGGAAAGGATGTGAGTCAAGCTGCGGGCAACAGTCGGAGACGTGTTGGAGTGAAAAACGCAGGACGGATGAGCACAGACTAGTTATTGTTTGCACTGGGAGAGCATGAGGTCATTGCTTTAAGTTTGTCCTGCATGAGGATGCAGACATTCTTTAATAAATATGAGTCAGAATGAGCTGGTGCTGAAGACTGTGTGTCTGTCACAGAGACTAAATAATAAACTACATTAATCTTCATAAATGAGTATTATGATCTAAAAATATCTTTTTTTAAAATGCTTTAGCGATATTTGCTACATAAATGTAGATTATAGCATATCAATAAGGATTACTCTTCAGTAAATTAACACTTTGAATATTAGAAAAATCAGTATTACATTTATTATGATATCCATTTATTAACGATTAACAAAAACTAAAGATATTAGGCAAACTACCTAAGTTTTAGAAGAATTAATGTTTAAATTAAAACAAGCCTGGGTTGTTTTAATATTTCTATATGAAACTATAGAAATGGTTTCAGATTACATGGGGAAAATGTACTTTTGGAAACAAACTGGAATTTTGAGTGACGTTCAGCACCAGGAAAATCAAACGATTGTTCTCAAGGAAGACTCCTACGTGGGAAACAAGGGGTGTTGACTTCAAAATAAAAGCACATTCAAATTTGTGGACAGAATTAACAGATGCGTTACGTTTTAGAGCGCATCTCTAAAATGTCTTACACTCTAAAATGCTTTCATACCTGACAGTCCGGTGGACTCGGTCCATCTGGGGACAAAAAGTTGCAACATTTGTTACATTTTCAGCTGGTGCGGTTCACTTTCACTCTGCACTGTGTGAAAAACCTGTTCCCCTCCTCGCCTGTGGTGGCGCTACACCAAGAACCACTGAAGCAAGCGACACAAAAAGCTCTAAAGAAATCTCGAGCGCAACTTCCTCCTTCATAAAATGTAAACAAAAATAGAGTAGCATCGGATTTTAGCACTTGTAAGATTTTCTCTTGTCTTTGGCAAAACACCATGATCCATTTCTCCTGCTAGCGCTAGCTATTTGTTTTGGTTCTATTTACCCAGAATGCCTTGCGCTATTGTTAACTTGCTGCTTTTGCGGCGTGCACACCTGCATTCAAACCAAACCAGAGTTCATTTCTGAGACTAGATTTGAAGACAGAATTGCGGTTACCTAACAGTCAGTAGATTCATGTGTTGCTCTGCCATCCTCAGTTTTTCTTGTCAAAAAACTCTTTTATTCTCATGCAACCATAGCAGAAGTGAAAGATATGATCTTGGTACATCGGGAACATAATTCTATCAAATCAGAATGTTTTATTTATCTTTCAGGGTTGTTGTTGTTGTTTTTTTACTCTCACTTAGCTGGTTTGCCAAGTCTGGAAGCAAACTTTTTAAAGCAATAACTTTCATTGTTCTAGAAATCAAGATAAAGATCAACTTGAAAACATCACAAATATGTACGGTGCGTAGGATGTCTTATCTAAAACTATAATTATCTGTTCCTGTTGGAAGTCACAAGAGTTTAGCGTAACATTGTAGTCATGGGTCAGTATGAAAAGACAAATTTCTTCCTGTAAGTAAGGAAAAAGTAGAAACACACCCTTTCAGCCAGCTGATTGACAGTTCACAGCAACCGGTGTTGCCTTATACAGAAAACTTTGGCAAACAATTCATTATGTTGGAACATGTTTGCGACTTTTATAAGGACATAGCATGAAATGCTGCATATCTGAAGCAGGACGTTAGTCATATTTTGGCAAACAGTTGATTGAAAATCCAATATGGAAGATGTTTTCTCCAGTTTGAGGTTTTGTTTGTGTTTACGTCTGGTTCACAGCCTTAATCTTCACATCTGACCCTGTGTGGGTGTCATGTTTTGTTTTTTTCTCCTGCCTGGGAGCGTTGATGTGAATGACAAGTATGATGCTGGTGAACAACTCCTACTCAGACTAGATTAGGTTTATCTCGTCTGAATCAGGTTTTCAAACGGTCTCTGGGAAAGACAACTTGAGGAAAACCTCGTAGAAAATACTTACCTGGCACGACTGGATGCCAACTTACTATGCTTAATCATTTAAGCATCTCTAACCGCTGGTCAATGTGTGCTCCCTCCCACTAACTGAGGAACGCTTCTGTGAAACTTGGCAGAGGATGTGACTACATACTATTTGGCACATGATGAGAAGGACACATTCACAGAGAAAATTCAACCTGCGGAAACCTGACATACCTCATGATTCTGAATTCCTAACAGACGCGCTGGCCACAGGTAAACACAAAAGTATGCTTAAATATTAAAGAAAAACGCATACCTTCTTTGAGTTAAGCCATAGCTTTATTACAATGTTGCTTGTATAATGCAAAGTTCTTATTTTGCATGTTTTTGTACCTCTATTTGTGTCTCTCCTGCTTCTACAAACAGTCCAACACACGGCCGTTTTTTTAAAGCGTTGTGCTGTTAATGCTTAAAAAAACATTATCTTGGCAGCAAGTTAATGTTTTTTTAGTGTATGGAAAATGAGCCACTTCACAAACCTCCCGATTGTTGAGTCACACTGAGTCAAATGGGCACTGTTACGTCATCTAGCAACCCCAGTGGAGCGCAGCTGTCACCTCGCAACTCAAGCGATTTTCCAGGACATTTGTTCCGATGGTACAATGGCTGCTGGAAAAGATGAGTGTTTGGTTGTCGACTTACCATATAGAAACCACTTGCAGCATTTGTGCTGGTTGTGCAGGAGGCTCCACTTCTGCTTATCAAAGATGTATGGTTGTATATTTGCGCTTCTGTTTCCAGTTATCTCAATGTTTACACTCATGTGAACGTAAACTTTATGTGGGGATGTATGAGGGGCAAATGAGGGACTTCCTGGTTCAGTGACTACTTTAGCTAGCTACTTAAAATATTGCATGTTTAATTTCTTGTATATAAATAAATTAATTGTGGATACTTATTTTGATTGGTACAATTAATTATACCAATCAAAACAAGTACAATTGTTTTTATTGATACTTTTGATTTGACGATTTTGGCCCAAGTAGCAAAAACTTTGGACACCCGGATCAATAACCGGGCCGCCAATAATTATCACAATTGTTATTTATTAACATGGAGTTATTTACTTATTAAATAAATGGTATGTAGAATTTACATGAATGCTTGTCATGCAGTACCAATAGAGGGAAAGTAGCAACTGTAAAATGTATTTTCAGCCATGACTTGCTGATAAATACAGTAAATGAACCTTGTCCTGCTTACAGTATAACTGCACAGTCAGATGAGCATAAACAATTCACCTTTTCCCCCTTTACTATTATTCGGTTGTCATGCCAACGCAGCACTATTGACACACATTTTATAGCGAATTCCTTGCAATGGAAAATAACTATGGTTACTCAATAGCCGAGGAACAACAGATAGACGTCTGACAGCGTGGCAGTGTCAACTTCAAACAGGTGTGCCACGAGGAACCCTGTTGTTTATCCACAACCGGAAACACGTCTCCTAGCAACCGGAGGGAATCCTCTCGTGTCTTATCAGGACTCTGATCTGTGCATGACGTCAAAACCATGTCGTTCCTCTCTCTGGCATGCGATGTGTCCCTGTAATCCTTGCGTGAAACGTCGATCCCTCTGCTTGCAAAACACAAAGAGAAGCCGGTGAGTCACCCTGAGAAAGGATCTGTAGTAAAGGTATTTCACTGAAGGTGATGGCCGGGGAGCGTCCGCCCACGTAAACCTGAAATAGTTGCTACACTGGTTGGAAAGCCTCAGCACTGCGGCTCGGTGTGTGGTCCAGCCAGCAGGCCTCCAGTACAGGAAAATTTCCATCCTCCTGTGTAGACTTTAGAACAATATTAGTCTAAAGAGCATATAGCTGAGCGTTTCAGTCTTTGAAAGCCTGCAACACAAATCACCCGGGGCACTATGTGACACCGAGTCTGGTGGTTGCGCTCACATTAGGTCAGTTACTCACACTGTCACTGGGTCAAAGTGCACATCAGGGTAAGCATTTTGGCACCACGGCTGTATTTACTTCCTTCTGCGGATCTTATTTAACAAGTGTTTTCAGTGTGTCCTTCGCCTTGGAAACTGACTCATCAACTCTGGAGTCCAAAGTCTGAAAGATCAGCAAACTACAGCCGAGCACGTACCAACCCTTCTCATTTCGCAGTCCCACACCGTGTTATTACGGAGGAGTAATGATTACCGAGCTGCGAATGTGACCCCCCAAGAGCCTCCATCATATATCAGAGGGGTCAGCGGGGAAATTAAAGGGATATAAAAGAAAAAGCTTTCACATGTCTTTTATTTTGCCCTCTTTAAAACACTGCTTTTTGTCTCCTCGGCCGTTGAGACAGGAGAAGAAACGTACTGCTCTGTCATATCCAGTCCCGATTAAATGCATCCTCCACAATTACCAAGATGTAAAAAAAAAAAAAAAAAATCAATCAAAACAAATAGATCTTTTACTACCACTACATAATCTCACATTTAAAAAAAAATAGAAAAATCCTTCCTTTAATTATTCATTGGGGTGGGGGGGGGGGGAAATTAAGAGATATTTTCCTTACAAAATCACTGGCGCCATGAATATTGGCACTGCAGCGACTCCTGTTAAACAAATGTGCCATGAAACTTAAGAAAATACTTTCAGTTGATCAGAGTGTCAGGTAACTTTAATTAGTAATTCATCACTTTCTGTTTCCTTCCAGCATATTTACAATGTCAAATAAAGGCCAGTTTCTCTAAGAGGAAACAGGAC